GAACTTGTCTGTAGTGAGATTGTTTGTCAGGGAACTTGTGTCAAGTGAGCTTATGTGTGTTTGTGTGAGTGAGTTTGTCAGTAGTGAGCTTTTGTGTATGTGTTAGTGAGCTTGTGTGTGTCAGAGAGATTGTCTGCAGTATGTTTGTGGGTGTGTGCCAGTGAGCTTTTATATTTGTGTCAGTACATTTCTGTGATTTATTCATTTGGAACATGTTTGTGTATGTATGTATATATATATATATATATATATACTGATGTCTGCATGAGCATGGAGGATTGGAGAGGGAAGTGTCCAACAACAGACAGGGGGTATCCTGGAGAGTGGGTATTACAGCACTGTAGCACTGATGGATTGTCTGGAGTGAGGGGCTTGTCAGAATATTTATATCGGCAGACATTTTGTGCTAAGATAGAAATGAAAAGTGTCTACTGCCAGTCACACTTAAAACCAAGCGGACTCCATTTTGGATTTTTAGGCTAAGAAAGAGATAAAAATTTCTGTCTAACTCCAGTCATTAAGCACGAGCTAAAGAATGCGTTATGTAAACAAGGCAAGTGATAAGGACTGAAGTCTCACAGCAAGCAGGGGGATGGAATACTCTTCTTAAAATTTAATGGAATAGAAATCATTTTAAACACAGACACTAGTTCCAGATAACACTTAGTGATTAATTTTACTTTCTAAATTTACTAATTTTACTTTCCCATTGTAAGAAATAGGGTGAAATTAAGGTTAGGACTAGGGAGGTGTCAATTTTAGAAATTACGATCGAAATTATAGACACGAAGTCTGGTTAAGAGAGAAAGAAATGCTTTGATGTGACACGTCTTGCGATTTACGCAGGCCATTTAGATAAGCCAAAATTATGTCAAAATCATCATCATTTCAAGTTAACCCTTTTCAGGACAATAAATTTTGGTGATGTAAGGCCGCCATCTACTGACCAAAATCTAGACGGTGGTCTGTGGGTTAGACACACCTACAGCTCCCTAACGTACAGAAAGTTTGGCCCTTTAAAAAGTGAGAACAAAGGGGAGATTGGGGACTCAAGACAGAGACTTAGCACAGAGATTCAGGACACACTCTGGGACTAACACCAAACTCTCAAACTCTCTTGGACACAACTCAAGAAACACTTCCTGGACACTTAGAATTTTACTATTACTTTCTAACCAACACCACTTTTCTATGACATGCAATCCTATACACATAACCATACTTGCATTCAATTCCTGGAACGGATCTTTGAAATCATTTGATGAGAACATCTACATAACTGGTAATTATGCTGGTTTATTTACTTAATTTAAATTAATTAAAATTTTAATCATAGCAGGAATATATGCCTGGATAAATCTCGGTTAGATTTCAATAATTAGAAATCTTAGTTAACTATAGAATATATAGTTATAAACATTCCATTCTGCAGGTGCAATCAAGATAATTATATATTAATTATATATTTATCACGTGTTAGCATACCGCTGTTTTTATCCAGATGTATTGATTTGCTCTGAAATAAGATAGTGTATCTCTTTAGGAGAGTTAATATTCAGCTAATGTAAAATCTGGTAGATGATTCTTATTGGATGGTTCTAGGAATGGTTATGAACATTATTTTAATTAAAATTGAAATGAGAATAGGACATTATATGCCTAGGAGGATTCTAGCCAGCAGTGGAATCGTTAATCAGGATTTAACCAAACGCGTTGTGCATTTTTTATTCTGTTTTATGATAAGAAATTAAACTTTTTTCAAGTAAATATATTTCTTATCTCTGGTTTCTTATTGAACAAAACACCAGACAATTTCCCAAGGGAAGAAATTTATTTTTCTGCTCCAATCCCTGGTTCTGACAACTTTGAAGATCTCTCCTTAAAGATACAGCACCATTGATGTCTATTTATAGGACATACATGCCGGCTAAGTTTTGAGCCAACTTTCAACTGGCTCAATATATTGTGTGTGGTTTCAACCTTTTATTACCCACTATCTACATTGTTTGCAGATTACACTATGTTGTGTTTGTTTTATTGTATCTTTATATGGATTTTATCTACTGTATCTGTTCAAGTATATACCAAGATCATCTACTGCAGGTATATTGTATATTATACAGGTATATATAACAGGTAACCCCTTTCTTTGGTAATGCTCATTCAATGTTTCTTTTTCTGGCTCTTTATCTCCTCCGCATCCCCTCTCTGTCTGTGTTCCCCAAGGTTCTGTCCTTAGTCCCATACTATTCTCAATCTATACTGCCTACCTTGGTAAACTCATCAGCTCTTTTGGCTTCCAATATAATTTCTATTGGTCCTCTCCTGATCTCTCTCTGTCTCTCCTCTCTGACTGCATCACGGCTACTTCCATCTGGATGACTGCTCATTTTCTTAAACTTAACCTGTCCAAAACAGAGCTTCTTGTCTTTCCTGCCTCAAGTAAAGCTACTTCCTTGTCTGTCTCCCTCTAAATCAACGGCATTACCATCAGCGCTACCTCGCAGGTACGCTGCGTAGGCATTCTCTTTGCCCCTCAAGTCCAGTCACTTGCCAAATCCTGCCTCTGCTGTTTCAAAAAATCATAGCTCATATCCACCCCTAACTAAAGCTGGATGCAGCCAAGATGCTGGTCCATGCTGCTATCACCTCTCACCTTGACTATGGCAATCTGCTTCTCAGTGGTCTTGCGTGTTCCCAGCTGGCCCGTTATAATCTATAAAGAATGCGGCTGCGAGGCTCATCTTCCTGTCTGCCCACACCTCCCACGTCTCCCCACTGTGTCAGTCCATACACTGGCTTCCTGAAAGATATAAAGCTCAATTTAAAATGTTGGTGCTTCTTTAAAAAAACACTGCTCCTACCTACCTATCCTCACTGATACACAAGTTTCTTCCGTCCAGTGCCATACGCCCTGCTGAAAATCTGTCTCCATAACCTGTTTGAACTTGCACCTCTGACATGTGCCTTCAAGACTTTTCTAGGGCTGCACTGCTCCTATGGAACTCTCATCAAAACACTAGTTAGGATTAGTGTTAGGGTTGGGTTAAGGTTAGTGTTAGGGTAGGGTTAGGGTTTGAGTGTGATTAATGTTAGGGTAAGGTAAGGATTAATGTTGGGTTAGGGTTAATTCTTTTTTAGAGTTAGAGATAATGTAAGGTTAAGGGTAAGGTTGTGTACATTTTTTATGAATGGGGAGCCACAGATTGGATAAGAACGTCAGCTGACCCCTCTAAGACAATCAACGGCACCCATGCCCGGCAGAATTTTGCTGCTCCTGAAACTTTCGTTGAGGACAAGGAAGTCAGGTGCTGTAGAACACCCTTGGGGTTAAACCATTCGAGCAACATAACATATTTTCAATGAAGCTGTCATGGTTCCTATACAGTTCCTTTAAGATATACTGCACTGTAATACATGAAGGTTTCTTATGTGACTAATTTGATCAAAACTAAAACTTTAGAAATGTTACATTGTCTTTTTTCACGCCTCCATTTTGTGAAACATTCTAAAGTGACAGTCAGTCAGAATGACTAATTTTGTTTGCGGAGGAGAGTCACAATAGATGGCTCTCTTAACCCATTTACTACTAATAATCATCTGTTTTGGTAAGGAAGGTTAAATAGCAATAGGAAACAGATAATGGCTGCAACCTAAGTAGAAAACTGCTAAAGATAATTTGTTCACCAACTGGAGACTTGTCACATTTGTATTTTAGACATACACGACATAACCTGGAATATTTGTTTGGCCACTGTGAATATCAAGATTGTTTATTAGTTT